TGCCGTCGCCACTGCATGGGTCACCGTAGAAGAGGCCGCAGTGGTCTCTCTGTGGAGGTTCCCGTCGTTCTCCTCCTTTGCTTCAGCATGCTCGTCCTCATTTGGGTGTCCATGGTCTGTGCCCTCGAACTCAAGAACATTAGGGTGAAAGGAGTAGGCTGGGGTCAGCGGCGTGATGTCCACACGAATCGCCTGAAGATACTGCCACTGATTAGGCAGATGTGTCAGGGCACGCTCGATGTAGACGCCCTGCTGCAAGAAGGCCTGTGTTATAGCCCCAGACATCACATGCGAGATCGCTTGTTGAGCTTGTACTGGTTGAGGAGGGGGGGGACCCCTCGGGAGAGGGGTTCCCCCCGGTGTCGTGGGTGCTGGCTCCGGTCCTCTGTTCGCAGCTCGATCAGCCGGCGGAAGGTGTTGTTCTATGACTTCGGAGTCTGAAGATGCAGCATCTCTGGTCGTACTGCTTTCCGCCATGTGAGGCCGCATGAAGAGCCACCTGAAAAGCACCGGTTCCTGTTGAGCCCAGATAACATGGCAGCATGTCGGTGCTGCAAGAAGAGGTCGCACTGCCTTAAGTCCGCAAGCAAGCTGTGCTGCAGCCAAATCATGAATGTGCTGAAGCCAGAGAATCCAGATCAACAGAACATGCTGGGGGCACTGTTCATCATGGAAACCGCTCTGTTGCTGTCGCATATGCAAGAGCCTCCCACAGATAATGCAGTAAAGATCAAGGATGCTGCAAGGTTTCTTGCAAGGTTTCTTGGGCCGTCGCCTGCGTCTTCTCCGGCCAACCGGAATGTAGCGGAAGCGCCATCGCCTCCCTGTTTTTCCCCAGCTCCGAGACCCGTAAGTCCCTTCAGATGTGGAGCTGTTGTATCTGTGAAGAACTCGATTGGGTTCGAGGTTGGAGTATAAGCCAGCCTGATGGTAGCTAGTGTTATTGCAGATGAAGGACGCGTAAGCCGCCTCCTTGTCGTATCTCACAGCTTCATCCCAGCCGCAAGCGTGTGACATCACAAAGTGCACAGGTCTGCTCACTATACTCTGCACTCGCCTGTCCAATGATATACGCAGAAATCAAAGTAAACAGCTTCCACATCAGCATCAGAAGTCAGAGCCGGAAATTCTTCGAAGCTCTGGATCACGGCTGACAACTGAGCAGTGGCAGTGGATCTATGGCGAGGCACCTGACTAACTGAAAGAGGCCCCTTGCCTCCTGACAGCCGAGATGCTTGTGATGGTAGTAGTAGTAGTAGTAGTAGTAGTAGTAGTAGTAGTACGTAGTAGTAGTAGTAGTAGTAGTAGTAGTAGTAGTAGTAGTAGTAGTAGTAGTAGTAGTAGTAGTAGTAGTACGTAGTAGTAGTAGTAGTAGTAGTAGTAGTAGTAGTAGTAGTAATAGTAGTAAGCTTACGAGCCCCCGGCAAAGAATGCCCAGCCAGTCGGCTATGTCCCACAACCGGCACCTCCAAAGGTTGTCAAGTATACCCGACTGGAGCTCGCTCAAATGCTGAGCTCCCCATCTCACCAGGACTGGATTCGAGCACTTGCTTCAATCAACATCCTGGCGGCCCCAGTTATTCTGGGAGGCCTCACTAACCAGGAGCAGCAAAATCTCTGGTCAACCCGGGTGGCGGCACTCAGCCAAGTGCCTCCACTTTTTTCAGCCATCAAGTTGGTAAAGACTCAGTCTGGCCTCACCTGGGACACCGCCATGTCTGTGCGCAGAGCCCTTACCAATGATGGACGGGTCACCATTGCCACAGGTTCCGGAGAAGCCTACCAGGAGCTGGACGCCCCCACTAAGGTGCATGGATTAATCCATGCATGCTTCAACAAAATGTGGGACGAGCCTGAGTTCCAACGCCGCTTCCCCACGAGGATCGAGTTCAACATGATTGCCACCTCCATCATGACGGTCTACAACGAAGCAGCAAAATCAGCTGGACTCCCAGCGCGGATGTTCAAGCTCAAACCCATGAGAGATGCCTATTCCATCATGAAGATGAGGATACAGCATGACAAGGGGATCGAAGAGGACAAGCGCATGGCTCGTTTGGCTGCGGCTGCTGCACCGAACAAGCGCCCACAGGTGAGGGAGGCAGATCCTGAGGGCAAACGCCAACGCGATGCCCCCTCATCTTCCTCCTCGAGTCAATGGGCCAGACCGGCACGCTCCTCTCAGGAGGAGGATTGGGACTGGTGGCAACAATGGTCCTGGCACGGATACTGTCAGTCTTCACAGCAGTGGCCGCAAGGTCACAACCAGTGAACTACGGCAATGTCACAGACTCCTCACATCCCGTATTGCACAGCCTCTGGGAATTCGGTGCTCTTCCGACGCTTTGCAAATCTCTTCGGGAGCTGTAGAGCAGCGAGCTAGCAAATGCAAAATGCAGGCCACTGCACTCCGCCTGTGCCGATATGGTCTGTCAGCCGTCTGCTTCATTCAGCTCTGCAGGTACGCAAACATGACCCTTACGGCCTTCTGTCCTTAGCATGAGTAATCCGTGTGGGACGCCACTAGACGGATACTCTAGGCGCCGGCTTCACATGAAGTACGACCTACTTGCTGAGACAGGTGCACAGACGGTCGCGTCTGTTCACAGCAAGGTGGCGGAGGTGGAAGCAACAGATGTACAGCTTAGTTAACTGAGTAGACTGGGAGGAACATGAGCGATGAATGCTTGCAAATAATCAGTTTCACGAATGCACGGGACCAAAGGCGCCCGCAAAGCGCAGAGCACGCTCGCGCAGCGTTCAATTGAAAAATAGTAGTAGTAGTAGTAGTAGTAGTAGTAGTCGTCGTCGTCGTCGTCGTCGTCGTCGTCGTCTAGCAGTAGCAGTAGCGGTAGTAGTAGTAGTAGTAGTAGTAGTAGTAGTAGTAGTACTGTACTAGTACTAGTACTAGCTATACTAGTACTAGCAGTGCTAGTACTAGCAGTAGTATCAGTAGCGGTAGCAATAGCAGTAGCAGTAATTGCAGTAGTAGTCGTAGTTTTTTGTCACCCAACTGGCCCGCCAATGACAGCTCCGCGGGGACTTAGGTGGTAACTAGTCACGACAAATCCCCCATGTTTTTTAAACCAGCTAAACCGAAGGTAAAGCCACAAAAAGATTACAGTACGGGGATTCATCGATCTTCAATCTTCGACTTCACATGCTGCCCTAGGTAGGTGGGTAGGTAGGGACCGACCAACGGTAGTTACCGCGGTCTCCTCACTCTCCCCCCTCCGTTTCTCAGGGTAGCCTCCGGAAACATCATCAAAACGTGCTAAACCTCGAAAAACTGCTGTTTTGCACGTGCTAGCAAGACTATTTTGAAGCCACGAAGATGCCAACATAGTGTGTTGTGTTCGGTCTGCTCATGGACGGAGCCTTGTCAGGAAGTGTCAAAAACTCGAGGAATTTGCGCTTTGTACACGGCCAGAACAAGAACAAATCGAGACAGTGGCAAAAAACAGGAAATGTGCAGGAGCATTAGCATTTCGCCTCTCAAAAACATGAGGAGGTCGGAGCTTTGTCAGGAAGCATCAAAAAACCGAGGAAATTGTGATTTTTGTTTACTTGCAAGCGGCAGTAGTAGTAGTAGTCGTCGTCGTCATGGCACGCCAGTGACAGCTCCGCGGGGACTTAAGTGGTAACTACTCACGACGAATCCCCAGCTGTGAGAAAGACACCACCAACAGCAGGTAAAGTCACATAACTACTCAGGGAATCGTCGATCGACACGTCTACGACGAGGCACATGCCCTCATCTGTGCGTCTCTTCTCCGATCAGGTCAACAACGGTTAACAGGTCAAAACGAGGTCCAGTCACACAAAACAGGGCCGGCCTTGTGCTTTGCAACTTTCCAACGGTCAAGATGTCATCCGCCGGAGCGAATTTATGGTTCGTGCAGGATGTGGAGTGGTTCTTTCAAAGGAAGCATCGACGCAGTAGTAATAGTAGTAGTAGTAGTAGTAGCAGTAGTAGCAGCAGCAGAAATCGAAGTGGTAGTAGTTCTTGTCACCCACATAGTAGTAGTAGTAGTAGTAGTAGTAGTAGTAGTAGTAGTAGTGGTAGTAGTAGTAGTAGTAGTAGAATTAGCAGTAGTAGTAGAAGTAGTAGTAGAAGTAGTAGTAGAAGTAGTAGTAGTAGTAGTAGTAGTAGCAGTAGCAGTGGTAGTAGTAGTAGTAGTAGTAGCAGGAGTAATAATAGTAGTAGTAGTAGAAGAAGAAGTCGCAGTAGCAGCAGCAGCAGTAGGAGTAGGAGTAGGAGTAGGAGTAGGAGTAGGAGTAGGAGTAGAAGTAGGAGTAGGAGTAGTAGTAGTAGTAGTAGTAGTAGTAGTTGTTGTTGTGCTGTTGTTGTGTCATCCGCATGGCACAGCAGCAGCAGGAGTAGTAGTAGTAGTAGTAGTAGTAGTAGTAGTAGTAGTAGTAGTAGTAACAGTAGTAGTAGTAGCAGCAGTAGCAGTAGCAGTAGCAGTAGTAGCAGCAGCAGCAGCAGCTGCAGCAGCAGCAGCAGGAGTAGTAGTAGTAGTAGTAGTAGTAGTAGTAGTAGTAGAAGGAGTAGTAGTAGTAGTAGTAGTAGTAGTAGTAGTAGTAGTAGTAGTAGTAGTAGCATTAGCAGCAGCATTGCAGTAATAGCAGCAGTAGTAGCAGTAGTAGTAGTAGTAGTAGCAATAGTAACGGTACAAATAACAGTGGCCGTAGTCGTGTTTAGTCGTTAGTAGTTAGCTCAGCCTTAACTTAGTTGTCAGTAGCTGCTGGATTGTCATTAGCTTGTGGTCACTCGTCGAAAAGGTTAGCAGTCCGTAGTAGTAGCTGAAGCAGTAGCATCAGCAATATTACCGTCGCATCACTACGAGTAGCCGTAACGTCATGTTGGCAGCTCTCAGCATGTGTGTCCTTGCTTGCCTCTTTGCTTCTTTCATTCCTAGATTTCTTGCCCACAATGAGGGCTGGAGCCAATTGATGCGAAGCACCCAAGCAGAGAATTGGTGTGTTCCACCGGCGGCCTCGCTTTCCGGTGCCAAATAGCAACGCTTGGAATGCAGGATCAGGTCGGAGAAAAACAAAGAACCTGGACAACTCATACTCAAAGCATGCCAACGGTGGCTTGGCAAATCCCAAACTCATGTTTTGGGACGGATTGGCCTGAATGTCTTGCTCAAGACGACGAAGTCCTGATGCAACAGCTCCTTGGCTTCTGTGGGTGGCAGTCGGGCGCCGTTCACCTGACGGAAAGCAACACGGGAGTTCCGCACAAAAAGGTCCCCTATACTCCCCTATACAACCCCTAGCTGTTCCAGCAGCGTGCTAGACATGTCTCTTTGACTACAAAACGGACGATCTTACACGCGGTTCGAACATCCTGCCTCCATTGAAGCACGCGGAGGTGGCACGGTCCGGGTTTGCACGATAAAAAGACGACCCGACTCCTGCATGCGTCATGTCAAGCAGCTCAGGCACTTTCTGAATCTCGTCGGTCCATGTGAAGGGCACAGCGTGAGGATGATAGGGATGCTTTAGGATCCTTTTCTGCAAGATCACCATGCACCAAACGGCACACGAAGGTGGCATTCCGCTTCACCCACCAACGGAAGCTAGCACCATGATCAGGAACCCTAGGCTTCTCAACCGCCGGTTCAATGAGCATGAACTGGTCTCGGAGCTGGCCCCAAATGCCTAGTCAGCAGGCAAGCCCTCAACAAACATGATGTCGAACCCAAGACGTCTGATCTCCGGCCTGTGGGCCGCACGACGCGGCGACCCAACCCAACCCGCTTTCAAAGTCCCGCGTTCCACTAGGAAGAAACGCACAAGAAAACAGGCCCGCATCCTGCCATGCGGAATAGGTCTCAGAGCCTTGGCTGCTCAAGTTCCTGTACACTGCACAGGTTGCCCACGTGAGCAACAGTCAGTGTTCTTGTGAGCACTTTGCACAACGACAAACATGAGGCCACCCCTGATCAATGCATCATCGTCACATAAAGTCGGCGTCTCTGGAAGCCGAAAATCGCATTGAGGAGAACCTAATTTGAAGTGCATGTCGAACCAGCAGCCGAATAAGTCGAGCTTTGCAAGCAAGCTGCACCCCAGCATGTACTGCCGTCCTTAGCTGGGCCAGCAGTCAACCGAATGCTGAGAGGACCCTCTGACCATGATATGCAGCGCCTTCGTCTGCGACATGGAAGATGAGACGACCGTTGAAGCCCGGGTCTTTGGAGTACAGAACCAAGCCTCTGTGCCAAGCGGACATGAGAAACGCTGAGAATGAGTCGTATGCCTAAGAGGCCTTACCAGAGATGTAGAAACCCGGGAGCTCGGACAAGGTTCGGCGCTAAACAGCTCCCAGCACAAAGCCCAATGGCTCCAACAACTAATGCCGAACTCCGAAGAAACACCCGCCTGCCACCCTTCTGACATCACCCGGCTTTCACCTTTCGGCATAGATACCCTCTCCTGTTAGCAACTGCCCGCTGTTGGCTGCTACTTCAAGTGGTGCTCTCAAGTGCTCCAAGTTTAAGACGTTACTGCACAGAAGCTCGTTCGAGAGGCCAAGACACTCGGTGTTCGTGGCCACCTTGCATCCCACACAAATCAAACCGACTTTCGGGCATTTTTGGATGTTGAAGCGCACTCTCACAGTGCAGATGAGCTGCGTAGCCCCACAACCTCAGAGGCCGGTGATGGATGCCACAGATCTCTGCAAGCATGTGAACAACACACTGTCGCTGTTGCAGCCCCTACGCGTCGCTTGCCTCAAAAGTTTCCTGGCGACTGACTGTCAGAGCTTGTTAGTTGGATGAATAGTGATTTGGCTTGGTGAATTCCGGGACAATTTGCTGTCCTTGCCTGAGACGACGCTGAACCTAATTGCAGCACTACAAAACGAACTTCCGAACCAAGAAACCATCTCCAAGTGTCCAGTTCAGCCATGTGCCATCTGCTGGCGGGGCGGCACACGCATGGGCGGTGTCCGATGAGGCCAGCCTCTTCTGCTTTCCGGCCATATTCTCGACCTTGACTTGGGCGTCTCCATTGGCTTGCTGCAGGAATGGCTGCTGGTCACCGTGGGATGATTCCTCTCGAAGCTCGTTCTTGACAGTGGCTTTTGCGAATTTCCACCTGGATATGGCAAGATTTTGCAATGCATCGTCTTTCTGTCTTTGAAGCATATCGGCAGTCTTCTGTGCTTCTTCCCATCGAGCCTTATAGCTTTCCATCATGTTGCGAACAAGGCCAGCTTGTGAATGCAAATCTTGTCCGTTCCGTTCTGTGCCTTTGCTGAGTTGTTCCTTTAAGCTTTGCAATTCTTCACTCAAGCTTTGGATCAGAGAGTCCTTGTCCATCTTGGCAGCACGTCTTGCAGCAACCTTGATGCTCTTGACGGTGCTTGCAAAGTTCAGCGTTACCAAGCTCTCGTCCAAATTTACCACTGCGGGGCTCACCGTTGCCAGCAAACAAGTCTTCGAGTTGCCGGTTAAAGCGTTGATGAGTAGCAGCGTCAGCTTGGAATTCCGGAATCTGGCACGGCTAGATCCCTCGAGCGCGCCCGAGCTACTCCGCTTGCGTGCCTGTCGGCCAAGCGCCTGAATGCACTGAGCAAGCCACATCAGGCTTCGGTTGATGAATGTAAGTTCTACGAAATTTTCGCCGGTGACTTTCGTGGTCTTCTCGTTCTCTCTCCCAGCCAGGTCCACGCAGAATAGCTCAGAAGATACAACTGTGTGGTCCTCCTCATGCTTTTCCATGAGCAATCGAAAAATCACATGCCCACGAGAACTCTTGGGATTTCTGGCCGTGGAGGCAACGCTTGCTCTAGACATCCCAGTGTCCAGCACCTTCTGAAGTTGCTCCATACTATCAATCTGCACATCAATAGCCCCATCAACATACACGCCTACTCGTGGGTGCACATGAATCTCGGGAGCTTTTGCCGAGTCTTTGTCACACAGCAGATCGCGCAGCTTCTCATTGTACACTTCCAGAATCTGAGCACGGCAGTGCACCTGTGGTTTTTCTTCATGCTGTACAAGGGAATCTGGTTAAACAGGATACGGGTAGGTGCTTTATGTAAAGCAAGAATGACTTTTTCTTTTGGGAAAGCTTGGGATTAAGTTGAGGAGCCCGTGCCTGACCGCTAGGCAGAGACTCCATTTGGCTGAGTAAGTCTTGCAGAAGCCGTGGCAGCAATCCTTGCTCAGCCTCACTTTTCTTGCCCATGCAAGAGAAAGTCTTCCCACTGCCGGTTTGTCCATAGCAGAATAAACACGCATGGTAGCCCGAAACCGAATGCTGCACAATTCTGCGGCCAATCATGTCGTAGCATTTCTCTTGTGATACATAGTTGGGCTTGGAAGCATCCGTGCTGTCCATTACGCAGTCGAAGGCGAAGTCGGTCTTCTTCCTGTCCGGAGCACGGACTGAGACCACATTTCTGGAGGCTGTAAAGCAGTGCTGCCTTGCTTCGTAGCCAAGAAATGGCCGTAGCCTGACACCGACAAAGACGGTCTCATCGTTGTTAGCCTTTTCCATGTTCAATGTACAGGTTGGAGCAGTTCAGCCGGACTCAATCGGAGTCTGGGCCTAGGCCTAGGCTCAAACGTCGCAGTTGGGGGATGCTTGCAAGGCATGACATGACGTGACAATATTCATGAGTTGGTGCTTATAAGACGATCGTTGTCACGCAGCAGTGCAGCACATGCGGTTGCAATTGGCAGGGAGTCTTCGCTTGAGCAAGGAACCCGGCAATGCATCATCACTTCCTCATTAAGCATGTGGTGCGGGTGGTGCATGGATTTGCCTGGCAGTGCATGGCCACCATGACTACGCCGGAGTGAGGACTTGACTCTGCAAGACTGGCCAAGACCACCTCTTATTGGTTATCTCGGTATTCCGTACTATCATGAACAGGAACGTCACTGCTAAGCGTGAAGAGATGCATGCAGTATGCATTCTCTTGTGACAGGAAGGAGAGACGCCGAACAGCAAACAGCAGGACCTGCCATTTTTGGAAGTGTGGCTCAAGATGTCAGCCGCTCCTGTCCGTTGCACCGTTGTACCAGGGAAGCAATGGCAGCACCGCCTGAAACGGACTCCAAGCCACAGTCGCTCACGTCCACGTGTTGGAGACTGCTGGGAAGTTGGCACAGAAGGTCTTGCAAACCCTGCGGCCCAATTTCCGTGTTGCCACTGAGGTCTAAGCTCTCTAGCCGCGAGGATCCTGACGGAAACAGCGTTTGTAAATGCATGTCCTGCATCGACAGGCCGCAGGAAGCCAAGCTCAAGGAACGAACGTTGGTGTTTAGAAGGATCTGCTCCACAAGTAAGCAAAGTCCAGTTTCTTCCAGTTGTGGGTTCCCGGAAACTGACAGCGTGCGAAGAGCCGGCGAGAACTCCACAATCCGCAAGATAGCTGCGGCTGCAGTTCTTTTCGCAAGGGAGCAGCTACCTAGATCCAACGCTTCCATCGCATTGCAAGATAAGGCGCTAGCAAAGCTGTGCACGCCATAATTTCCCAGCTGAAAGTTCTTCCGAACATGCAGACTGGAAAGTCCTGGCATCTTCTCGACCAAGTGCGCAAGAGCAGTGCCAGAATCAGAGCCTGCAAGCCCGCACTCCCCCAAATTCAATAGCCTTACGCTGCAGCACCTGGGACAAGATCTGACGAAGGCTCGAAAAGCATGTCCGCCAAATGCATGGTTGCCGTACAGACTGAGATTCTCTAGGGAATCCATCGCGCCAAGCAGCCGAGCCAAAGCAATGCCGTCATCACAAGTCGTCAAGCTGCCGTGTTCAAGTTTCAGAAATCGGAGGTGGTTACTTTTGCAAATCTCGACAATGCCATCGGCATTAAGGCTTCCAGATGCATCCCCCAAGTTCAGGCTCTCTTCTTGAGGAGATGCAGAGATGGAAGCACCCGCGAGTTCGACCCGTAAGTCATGCCACATGGCGAGACTTTCATCATCCGGGCGCACTGCTCGCAAACGAAGTGCAGCATTCAGCGAAGCCAGACTGTCAAAAGCGTGGTCCTCACCTATGTCTATCACTTCCATGTTTGGGCAATTGGCCAGCAAGGCATCGAAGTGGTGAGGCTCCAAATCCCTGGGAAAGCTGCAATATTGCATGTCTATCTTGGCAAGTATCCTGTCAGGATTCGCATCCAAGTGCTGTCCAACAGCAAGAAGTCCCTGAACACCAAAGCCGCCGTTGTTGGCTAAATCCAACATGATCAGCTGCGGCATTCTCGCCAACATCTGGGCGACAGCCATGCCACCTGCACCTCCCTCTATCCCAGTATCTCCAAGATTGACAACCTGAAGACTGCTCATAGTCTTGTTCAACGCTCGTAACGTCTGAGCAAAGGCCATCACGCCGTCGGGTCCTAAGTGGTTATTGCTGTGTATGTCGAGCTTCTGGAGATTGGGCAACATCACCAGGAAGTGTCCCAATTGACGGCCTGATGTGGATCCATCAATACCGCAGTCTGGCATCGCCAAATGTTGCAACGCATAGCAGGTTGGTATACCTGCTGCAATCGAAGATAGAGCAATGCCAGAAGACAACAAGCTCACTGCTCCGAAGCCATTGTTGCTGCTGATATCCAGAAACTCCAGGCCTGGACAAGCTTGCAAAAGTCGAGCGACGATAGTGCCACCCTCTTCACCACAAAGGCCAGTTCTCGCCAAGGAAACAGCTCTGAGCTGTTTTGTAGGGCGTGGCAGTCCGCTAAGCAATGCATCCAGTCCCGAGGGCAGCAGCGAATTGTCACTCAAATCCACGTGCAGGGAGGCCCTCAGCAGGACCAGCTGCAGCTCGTCGCAGCCAGCAACATCACATACCAATTCCTGGCGGCTTAATATGCGGTGACCAAGAAGCAATTCAGGACAACCAGCTGGAATCGCACCACGTGCATGCAGCAAACGCAGGACATCATCGATGCTCGCAGTGCATGTTAAGGACAGCAGGTGGCAGCTTCCATCCATACAATGAACACGACAGTGCGTCGCTGGTTCCTTGGCATCTGAATAAGGTGGACTGCCAAGGAATAACATGCAGACCAAAGCACAGACACAGGCCTATTGAACAACACTTGCAATGACGGTCTGGGCATTTTGCCTAAGCATGCAGCTAAAGGTCGTTCGGGTCATTTATGACGTCAGGCGCTGGCCACGATCTGCAAATCACAGTGTCCTCCTGTTGTTGCGAGGGCCTGCCCAAGGCATGGTTCGGCTCCTCATCGCAGCGAATTTGGAAGTCTCTTTCGAGAGCTGCAAAGCCTTTGTCCCGCAAAGTCAACCCAGTGGTCACGCACGCGTTTCTGTCGTTTCCATCATGACCTCGTCGAAGCTGGCTGCTCTGATTTCCCATTTTCACGATCCAGCCGCGGATCTCAAGGTTGGAGGTGTTGGCTGATTGAATTTTCGAGCTACACGTACTCAGGTAGCCTGATGGCTGTGTGAACGTGGCTGCATGTGCTAGCGGTCATGTGTTAAGAACACCACATGGCTGTAGAAACTTTGCTTGAAACCTGCCCAGGTGATGCGGCCATGCCAGAGGCATGTCTGAAACGATGGGGTTCAAGGGCCAAGCGTGGTGCCAGGGTGCAGTTCAAAGCCAACCACAGGCTTCGCAGCTTGGGCTGTCGGGAAGTATTGGTTCAAACATGCACAAGCCAAGCCTGTCGTCGGGCAGTGCCTGCCGCTGGTATAGAGCATGTAACAAACACGGCAACAAAACGCTCAAGCCTTCAAGCAAATGCCTCCCGGTTTTCGAAGGCAGTAAGACACTATGAAACTGCAGAACCTGAACCGCGGTTGAATCCGTTGCAAAACCAGCGTGTGTGCGAGCTGCTGGAAACAAAACAAAGAACAGTGCCAAACATGCCAAACAAAATCTTCAACGCAATGAAGTTGAATGTGCTGTCAGCCGGTGTGGTATGCAGCCGGATGCTGACCGAATTCCGCGGACTGTTGGGTATGTTTGACCAGCGTCAATGATGTGAAACAGGAACCGCAACTTGGCTGTTGCCGTGCGCCCGGCGTCGGCTGTGCAAAGGGCATGACTGACACGTATGCTACCTGCTTCAGGTGACTGCACTGCTCCACATCAAACTGTCAACAAAACTGTCTCACTCGTGACGTGCTGTCTCCCCCCTGTTGTCTCGTTTGGCGTGAGGTTGGTAATGCTGCTACTGTTCTGATTTCCCGAACTGCAGGTTCCATCAAACTGCAATACGAATTTTCCATACCCTTTAGTCAATTTAGTCCTGCCCAACCTCCGGCCAGCCCTCCCCTGCCACTCTTGAGCTTCTCCTGCGCCCATCACTGAAGGTTCTTCCACGTAAGCATGTGCCGCCCCCGGGGTTCCGCCCTGGCCATGTGTCTGTACATGTCCCACATGCGACGGAGTCTTTCCACTCATGCCAGTTTTCCCCCGGCCTCTTTCTGGGTGCATCAGTCTCTTCACCTGCCCCACCTGTGTGCTGTTAAAACTACTTTGAAGATAGCATCGGATGCGCCCTTGCAGCAGTGCAAACGAGCTTGGCATGCTTGCCGGGCATGCCAAGCTCGCGGGCTGTCTGGTTTATCTCCGCGACAATCGCAGCCACTCCCAAAAAGGTAATGGCCGGGTTGATGGAAGGCAATGCTGTCCCAGTCAGTGTTCGAGTGCCCCAAGCGCGTGGGACTTGCGGCCAGGGTCGGGGGTTTGCTGTGCCGTGGGAGGCTCGTGCATGGCCAGGCTTTTTGGAAGTGTGTCAATGCAACAGGTCATGCCAGTACCATTATTACTGATGATTTTGAGGCAGCACTAAACTACAGCAAAATACAGCAAACCAAACACAAGATCCCACCCGTGCGGGGACCGCCCCCGGGCAATCGGGGGCGCCTCTTTCATGGATGATGACGATGCTTACCTTTGGAGCCACAACCGTGATCCCCATGCTCTCCTGCCAAGCGCTGTCAACGGCTTTTCGCGCGTCCAGCTTGACGAGCCACATGGACACCCCCCAATCCTTGGCATGCGCCACAACAAGCTAAGTCATTCCACAACAAAGCTCCTCGGTCCGCTGTAGGTATGCTTTTCATTTGCCGCAAACTGCCGCGCAGCTTTGGCGCAATCGTCTGACTCGACCGTTGTGGCAGTTTAAACTCATTCCCGACACAGCTCGCATGTCTGAATGTCCAAGCTACAATGTGCAAATGACGATGCTGTTCCATAGTTACTTGAAAGCTGAAGCACTGCCGCCGAAAACCTCAAAGCCGTCATGCCAACTTGCCGGAGGGGCCCACCGACAAGACTAAGACTGAAGACTGCGGTCGCAAGCCTTCAAGATTCTATGATAGTCGATGGCAACATGCTCAGGCTAACTTCTGAAAGTACAGTGTTGTTCACCGCACCAGCGCCGCCTCCATCGCTGTTAATTAATTAGTCCAGCTCGTTCATTGCGTGAAGCTTTCGAAATCTAGTCAGAAGCCTTGGTCAAAAATGCAGCATACGCTCCTTGGTATGCACTGTTGTACTGTGACAGCCGT